TCCCCGTTTACCCCCCCCCCCCCCCCCCACCTCCTCAGGTTCACCGTACGTACGTCCGTCCATGCGTGCTTTGATCAACTTGAACCCGATTAGAAAAAATGTCGGGGCACCCGATAATGCCACAGCCATAAATGTCAGTAGCGCCGTGCTTTATCAATGAATTAGATCCCCTTGCGATACGCGAGCTGTACTAGATACTTGGTGACGGGCAGAGATTGGGACATCCAGACCGCCGGCATCTCTCGGCGATTCTTGGCCGACGTTCGATTGTCGTCAGCGCACACCTTTCAAGTCTTGTATCGATATAGCGATCATCGCTACAGGTAATTGTGTCGCGCCGTTAATTTGGCGCCAGACAGCGTGTCATAAATAGAAATTAAGCCATAAATACAAATTATCCCCGTAGTTTCCAAGTAGCGTGTAATACACTCTCTAGAGAACGTCGTAATTATAATGAAGCATCGCGAGACTGAAAAGTTAGCTTCCGCAAAATTGTTGCTTAAGGGAGAGAATATTTTTCCGCATATCCTTGCCTGCTATTTTACATCAACATTTCCCAGAGTAGTATTACCGTCTGTAGCACATTGGTATCTGATGTTAATAAGATTTGTTTATTATAAAGTTTCAACTTTGAAGATCCAACGGTGAGAAAAGTAGCTGTAGCTGATATAATATTATTTATCATGATCGATCGAACCAATTGCCGGTTTTACGCCTATTCTGTGAAACATTTTTTCTGTGTTTGCACGTGGGAGAGAATTTTCTCTTAAAATTTACCCTGAAAATCATGCAATCGTGGAACAACTTGGCGTTTTGAACAACTGTGTGAGAGTTTCTTGACATTGAAATAAAATCGTTGAAACAGTATTAATAAATGAAAAACAATCAGATTGTGGTCTTAATAATCTGGATATTTAGTTCAATGCTTAAAATATTAAAATCCATAGCAAATACAATTGAATGAATTATTTACGTTTGCGGCAGCCCGTGACGTTAACGTTTAATTCAAGCAACTTTATTTTGTTTAATTCAATAGCATTTTTTGCCGTGTACCAAAGGTCGCCCGGTTGTTCATTTTCTGGTTAACTGTTAACCGGGAGTTAGTCGACTCTCCATCTCTTTCTACGTTATTACCTGAGAAGAGACACAGAGTCGACTAACCTCTGGTTAACAATTAACCAGAAAGTGAAACACCGGGACTAAGTATAATTGCTAGTAGAACGTATGGTAACATTTGAAAAATCTCTCAGGAAATTCTTCGAAATGCCACGTTGTCCGACGATTACGATGATTTTCGGGATAAATTGGAAGAAGAAAAACCTCTCTCTCCCTGCAACAAAGTAAGCCTTCGTTCCGTTACCTGTCGCCGTCACGCCAAATCTCGCCAGAGCTTGACCCTCCCTACACCAGACTCTGAGCATGCACTTAAGCAGCTCCTCCAGAGCTTGCTTCAATGTCACGTCCTTGTCCACTTCCGTCGTGCACTCGGAACCCGCGGAGTTGCACACCATCGTCGGGTTGTCAACGGAACGTACTCGCGGCAGCGGGTAGCTCGTCGCTCGCGGGGGCCGTCCCTCGTTTCTTCTTCGATGCCGAGAAGAAGAAACGCTTCCTTCACCTCCTCGCCAGCGCACCTTCGGCCGCAAGACGGGGGGATGCTCGCGGACCAGCTCGGGGATGAACTCGCGGCGACGCGATACACAGAAAACGGCGGATTCGCGAAGACGATGCCTCGAGCCAGCGGCCTCGTGGAATGCGACTCGGCGCCCTGACCCACTGACTGCCGGCCAAAAGCTCCTTCTTCGAGTCACCGCCTCCCCGGTAGCCGCGGTTCGCGAGCGCCGCTGCGCTTCTCCGTCGTCTTCGCGCGCGGGCACAAATCACCTCTCCCCTAACTTCGTCTTCCTTCTCCGCCACGGACGGGCCGGACTTAACGTCTCGCTCGACGGCTGTGCTCGGGTGGATTATATTTAGACGGCGGAGTATTACGCGGTGCTTATTTAAAGAATCGGGAAGAGCGCCTCTCCCCCTCTGTACCCGGCCTTTCTCTCTTTACCCGTGCCTTTTCCCGCTCGTTGTCATGACCCAATTCTTTTCTCCTCTTCTCTCGCCCTCTTAATTTCACTCGCCGCGCCTCTCGCCCTCGCGCCCTCTCAGCTCGCCCCGTAATTTAAATATTCTTGAATATTCATAGCAACTCGCCTTGCGCTCGCAGCGATGCGCATAATGTTGTGAAAGTAATTTTACTACGATCCTCAGTTCTGCAAAGGTATATACACCGCTTCATTCCCCGTCTGATTGTCTTCAGAATAAACTACGCCAGATTGTTGAGATCAACGTGATTTGTTTAACTTTCTCGTATCCACCTGTTTACATATCTCTTCTGCTTCGCGTCATTTGCCCTCCTTTTCCTCCTCCGCCATTTCTTTTCCCGCGTCTTCCCTTTCGCTTCATCTTGCCCCCCCGTTAGCTCGCTATCTAACGTTTCCTTGACGGCGGATATATCGCAGGACGCTTTCGCGAGACGGTTTAGGAACATTCTTCGGCGATGCGTGATTCGGCGTTGAAAACGCTCGTTTGCGCCGCGCCGGGCGTCATCGCGCCGAATGATCTCACGACTCGGAGATTTTGGAATGCGCCTTAAGAATTTCTAACACAGATACGAACGATTATAGAACAGCTGCGCCGATAAAACCGTGATTAACGACTGTGCTAATAGGCGTTCACGGATTTACACTCGGATGATTAACATCTGGAGAGCTCGTGTGATTTATGCGGCTTTAAATTAACCGTAGGGGATATAAAAACAGCTTTATATTTTAAAACAATTTTAACTCCCCCAACGTTTTCCCAGTGGCTTTCGCTCGGGCTGTCGTTTTCACAAAGTTCTCGTCGGCTTCCTCGCAAAGGGACGCCTCCAATTCTTCTCCACGTACGAAACGATCGATTGTATGAAATGACGAAGTCAGTGTGAGAAATGCGATCGAAACTTAACGTCAGGTTTCAAATCTTCTTCTCCATCTTCTTCTTCTTCTTCTTTCTCGTGTATTAAACTTAAAAGCCTGTTTTATCTAGTTCGTTCTGGTACTTTGAGCATTTTTTACTTCATCTTCGATAGGCTGCTAACCTTGCCGAAGGAAACCCCCAATCTGAAGGGCTGTACCCCTGAAAGGATATGCGTGGCTTCCCTTCGGGAAATTCCGAAAGAATCGGCGGTGTCCGTGGATTAGAACTCAGATCTTCTCGTTCATTTGTTTACTAAGCAGCGCACGCCTCTCTACGCCATACTCGCCACGGTGGTTTCAAATCGACAAGAAAAATTGTTTCAATTCGACTTACCGAAACATTTCGTTTGTATCCTCTTGTACATCTCGCCGCTGGTTTTTCGATGTACCATCCTATGCGTGGCAGCCTGATATCTCTTCTTAAAATTCTTCTCGCTCTCCGTGGATTCTTGAGAGCCTCGTCGCTCCTTATAGCCGTTATCCTCGTCGTCACCATCTCTGCTGTCAGGTCTTCTCCATACGTGGCTCTCCTCGAGGTCCCCGATATAAATCCACTCGCTGCTCAAGTACGGTTCCACGTAAGTATCCTCGTCTTCTCTTCCTGTCATTAAGAAGAAAATGTATTAGAAAACAAATGTTATTCGCGTCAGGTGTATTTGATATTTGTTTCTCATTCCAACTGTACATTTACAATTTTATAAAGAAAAAGTATGGAATTTTTGCATTATTTCAAAGTAATTGAGTTAAAAAATAATTAATTCTATTTAATTAACTAAAATTAATTATTAATAGAAAAAATAATTGAACGAAATTAATTGAAAAAAATCGAATTGAACAATTCAGTCTCAAGTGACGTATAAACATTTTATGTTCCGACGCTTACCCGTAAGAATCTCCATGCTGGCGTCAGTGCTTCGAGCTTGCAGCCTTCTCCTGCCTGTATCGTCGATGGAACCTCTGCTTCCTGGCCGGGGGGTGGCTCTCTCCTCCGATTTGGCTCGAATGTCCGATCTACCGGCGCTGCTACGGCGATGTCTACGGTCCCCTCGATCTTCCGACCTGTACCTTTTGTCGAACTTCTTGTACAACCGGTGTCCTGTAACGTGCTTGGAAGACGTTCTGTGTCCTTCCGGGGAGTCCGCAAAACCTGCCGGTGGTCGAACGATCTCTTCCGACACCTCGGGAGTGAAGCAACAGGAGGGCACACACGATAGAGAAAGAAAGCAGATAGATGGACAGATGAGTAGATTGAAAGAAGTACTTCTACTTTGCATTCGTATTTAATCTCATGTTCGTGCTATCGAGCGTTTATGGCATTGGAAATCGATAGAAATATGTATACAGTTGCTTACAACTCGCGATATTAAAGCTTTGGTATTTTTTTCGATTAGCTCAGTATTTAAGGTCTCTTCGAAGAAACTGGAATTAATTTATCTCACAATTAGTTAAGTACAAAATGTGTGGAAGAAAAGTAGTCTATGAATTAACACTTTCATGACTATTAAGATATTTGTCAACATTTTCTACCGTTTAAAGAAATTACGCAAGTTTTACGCATGAACGTATAGTTTTATTTCTAATCGATCTTATTTTTATTTGGAAAGATTCGTACGATATAACACTATCGAAAGATATATCGATGTAGTTTCGAAGGGACAGCATAAGTCTATACGCTTTCTCTATGCGCTACTCATCAACACAATTTATTATTAACATATCGAGCAAACGAAAAAATTGTTTGTACGTTAATTCTTGTATGAAGCGAGCTACAAGAAATAAAAGCTTTAAAGGGACAAAGCCAACTATTCAGAGGACGACTACTATACGATTAAACAGCAAAATCTCCAAAAAGTTATAATGAGATAGAAAATAATAATAAACTGATTCTGATTACGTCAATTTAGAAAATTGCAAAATTAAGATTAATAACAAGTACATATCTTTTATTCGCAATAAAATCTAATTTAACGCTAAAGTTGCGGGAACGTCTCAGATGCATTCTGTGTGTCCTACTAGTTTTTATTAAAAAATAAATTGTTATAAGAAAGCTTTCGATCGTAAGCAAGAACGGTAAAACGTTATTAAATTCTAACGCTTTGCACTTGAAATTTTCTCTTAGCCGTTAGAAGACAGCCCGAAATAAGTCTTACAATGTATTATTAATATTGCGTGGGTCAAGAATATTAGAAAGATCTAAACGATATAAAATTAAAGCCCTTTTAGACAGAGCGTTGGAGTAGACGAAACAGCATTGCCCTCGCAGATAGGTCATCCCAGAGCAAAGGGCTAGGAGCGAAAGGCAAATGAATAATGCACGATAAGTAATATATCACCTCTCTGCCACATTGCTGACAGTGCGCGGCGGCCAAAGCGGCGACGGACATGGGCTGATCGGCGCTCTCGCTGTAAAAGACACTGTCGCTGCCCGGGCTGGCGGATCTCAACGATTCCGCCGACACCGCTTTCAGTCTCGTCTCCGGACTTTGTGCCTCCACAACGAGCGCTCGCTGGCCGTTATGCCCCGGGCTACGTTGATAGCGGCCGGGACTCAGGCGACTGGAGCAGACTATGTCGTCTGCGACGCGGGACTTCCTTCGCGGTAAACTGCCCGTTATGGCCGCGTTCTTATCCTGCAACGCGATTGTTTACAGATGCGAGATGCGCAGTGGAGGAAGGAAAAGAGTTAGGAATCTTTTCTTCGTAGGGTAAGGTGGCCAAATTCGGATCAACAATCTGACGAGTCGCTGGTAAGCGACATAAAAGCACGTCGACGCCTTTTATGATGTCGACAGTACAGCGTAAAGTTGTAGTTACATAAAAGAAGAAAATTTTAGCGAATCACGAAGAAAGTTTGCTTATAGTCACCAGTGATGATTAAAGTTTAAAACTGGAAACTTGTAGTCAACTCAACTGGTATATTCATTAATTGTTTGATACAACGTGTCGACCCTATTTTTTGGGTCCTTATCAAGTGATACTACAAATCCACAATATGCGCAATTATAAGATTCTGTGAGTTATTAAGTAAAGCAAGAGAAAGTGAAGAAACGAACCTAAGTGAGTCATCGTCGTCACATAAGACAGAGTCAATACACGTGAGCACTGTGGCTGCTGATTTGCAGTATCACTTGATAAGGACCCCCCAAAAATAGGGTCGAAACGTCGTATTAAACAAATAAATGAACGTACCAGTTGGGTTGACTACAAGTTTCCCCGTTTTAATTAAGCGAATCACTTTAAAATGTCGCTTGTTAGCGACTCATCAAAATTTCGATCCGCGTGTGGTAGCTGATGCGAATTCACCTTACCCTGAACAAAAGAAAGTGCGGAATACATTGGCGAACGTCATGCCTACCTCATTGCTGCGTCTTCTGGTAGAGATGTAACTGCTGGTCTTCCTCCTCGGGCTTTCCCTGGTGCGACGATGCCTCGTGCTCTCCGCACCCTCCCGGTGCATGTGATGGTGGTGATGATGATGCATGTGATAATGATGACTGCAGCTCGAATCGTCGGACGTCGGCGCGTGCTGACCGTCCTCGGTTTGCTCCATCCTCCATTCCTCCTTCTGAGGACTCTTGAGCACTTGTTGCTGTTGCTGCTGCGCCGACTGTTGCACGGAGTCCCGTTTTCTGTTATTTCGATGAGGACTTCGAGTCGACGCTGGCTTGCCGCGCGACCTGTGCCGATGGCTGGGCGTTGGACTGACCTCGACGTTCTCCGGATACGCCGGCTCCGCGGGGTGCTCCAGCTCGACGTTGCTCGTCGTTGCCGTTGCGAGAAAGTCCAAGCTGAAGGTTTTCTTCTTTCGACGGCGCTCCTCTTCGCTCCACATGCGAACGTCGGGTGGCGATTCGGCGTAACCGCCTGACGACGATCGATGACCCTCCTGTCGAAATAAAGCGCTAAAATCGTTTCCGGCTGATAAGAGTTTTATATTTTTCTCACAGCTAGAGGCAATTTCACTAGATCCTCAAACTTTTCATGAATTCGACTTAGAACCTTATGGCAAAAATAATTTGTTCATTAAAAGTTTATAAGAAGTTTGTTTAGATGTTCAGTCAATGTTTTATTTGAGTTTTAAAACATTTATTAAATTGTTTGTGAGATATAAATTTAAACATGGAGCTGTTTATGACATGTTCACGGTTACACGTGTTCAAATGGCGTTTAATGAATACAATGTCAAACGTTTTCATTATATTAGTTTTCTAAGTGTTTGTAAAATGTTATTGTCAGCAAAGAATTAACCAGGTGTTCGCAACGTACTTCCAAACGGTGCAGCCATCAATAAAACTCTTCATAAATAAATATAAACGTCACCTCTCACGTGAAATTTTCGCCAGGGGATTCCTAAACACTTACGTCCCGATCCAATTCAGTCTCCGAGGCAGGCCCGCTGTGTGGAGCGACTTGCTCTACCCCGTTATTCGGATCTGCCATCGCGTCTTTTAGGTCATAGCTACCTGAACTACTGCTGCTACTAGACCTCATTGTCGGCGGAGGTAATTCTAATCCAAACGTGATTTCCGCTTCTTCTAAAATTGGCGGCGGACTACACGGCTCCTCAATAACAGCCTAGTGGGATAAAATGCAAATGCAATCAAAATCTTTCTTATTAATGCAGCACAAAATTCCGTTGCATGGTTAACTTCAAATTAATTCTTTCTTGGGAAAGATTAAAGTTTAAATTAGATCGGCAATATAAATTGAAAATTATAAAATCTATTTTCCGTATCTTACAAAAAAAAAATTAAATTTGTCAAGGGTGGCGACTGAATTAAGTGCAGTAGCGTGCAGTTACGGAGGCAATTATCTTATGCGTTCGTCCGAGCATTAATTCACTCGAATATTCCGAAATGACTGGCAAAATTGAAGGCGTAAATTAATTTACGTAATTTACGTTTACCTCGCTCCTCGCCAGGCTGTAAATTGAGCTCGCGCTCTCGAAGGAGCTGCCTTCCGCGGCGGTCGCGGTGGTCGAAGCGGGCGCCGACGCCGCCGACGCCGCGGCGCTGGACGTCTGCGGTGGCCTCGACCAGGAACTGGTCGTGGCGGACGTGCCTGTAGTGGTCCCGGTTTCCGTAGAAGTATTGGCAGTGACGTAATCCTCGGAGGTCTCGGAAATATCGGTGCGTCCGCCCGAGTCGGTCCTCGCCAGGCTCAAACCGAACTCGCTCGACGACTGCGACTGCGGCTGAGACAACGGCGGACCTGGACTCGCGCGGCGTAATCCACTTCTCGGTCGGCCGTTACTCGCAGAAATAGATGATTCGATGCTGGGAAGCGGAACATAAACTTTAATCGTGATGCAGAGGAAAGGATCCAACAAGGAAGAAGCGGGGTACTTCGATGTCGTGGGATAAATTATGTACATTGATCGCGGCGCTACTAAGGAAAAATATATACATTGATACGATAACATTTCTGACTTTTTCTTTTTTTCCGACTGACATTTTCAAGAAAAATACGTCTTGCGTGGCCTGCAATTCGTGGTATTTCTATACGTTCCATTAGAGCTCGCAAGACTCTCAGAAGCATTTCATTCTTGTTGCTCGGCAAATGTTAAACAAGGACGAATGGTCGAGTGTTACGAGCCAGTTACGATGCCAAATGGAAAGCCACCTTTCAGGCGGGGTCTGCGACGCGAGTCTCAGAGTCGCAGTCGTAAGGATAATCGACTGTAATTGGTCAATTCAGTCAGACACATGAGAATTCACTAATCATAATCGACTATTCTTACGACTACGACTCTGAGACTCGTATTGTAGACCCCGCATCCCAGCGAAAAATGACTCGTCGATCGACGAATCATTTCTCACTGGGATAAGACTTCTGAGGTTTCGTTCCGATATTCACTGCCAGTTTAAATCACGTGGCGATCGTATATACGCTGTTGAGGTGAGTCGAAGATACGACTTCAAACCCGACTGTGGGTTTTATTCGTTCGCCACCTCTTGGAAGGCAAACCACCGAGAGTATTTTGCCCAGGACGTCCCCCTACAGAGCGGTTTGGAATCGGTTCTATTAATATTAAATTGTAACACAGATACACTCTCGGGACAGAGGACGCTCGAAATCGAGTATGCTACTTGAAGAAGAAGAAAAAGAAGACACTACAGATTTTTAGCACTGACAATGAATATCCGAACGCAGCCTGTCCATGCTAGAATCGTGACGCTAGAGAAATAACACGATGAGAATTCTTGCGTACCACTTTAAAATAAAAAGATATTTGGATGAAAGAAATACTTCCAATCGCTTTAGCACACCTGTAAAATTATCCGAAAACTATCCGTTTTCCTTGACAGTTAATAAACAGTCATAAAGTGAATAGCTATCTCGTGACACGAGATCTACTTGGTGCAGGAAAATACGCGACTCGATCACCGCCGAAAGGAGTGGAAAACGTTCCTTCCGCGTAGCACATTTCTTGCTAATCTTAGTTTTTCGGATTATTTTATAGGTTTTATAAAATACGTCACATGTTACAGCGTTAGCATAAAGCGAATAGCAAAATGGCGCGCAAGAATAAGTTGGATTGTCAACATGTCACTTTTCACACCTCATTATTCATCGGTTTGCAACGTGAAGCACTGGCATGAGGATCCCTGACATGTGGGTAATATTGCGATATTGGGAGATTATAACAGTACTTTTCAACGTTTCATTATACAAACTAAAAATCAACGAATACGGAATAAATGATAATTGGAATGGATATTACTGTCGGAAGACCAAGTAAAAGAATATGTACAAAATTATGTGTGTAATCTCAAAAAAGATTACGATACATTGCACTATATTATTTATAATGCATTTACAAAGTTTTGGGGGATAATGATTCTCGAGCAAACATCATCCTGCAATTTATACATTCAATATGTACTTTTTTTTTAAATATATAAGAAGTAATTCTATAAAAGTTTTTAGCAACCTTTCTATATTAATATCCTTTTATAGATAGAAAAAGTGACGTCAATTGATGAAATTATTATCTATCATTATTATCATTTTATTTGTATTGCATGCAGGAACGTACGTCCGCTCAAAAGCACTAATTTATGTATAATTAAATATTTTGTATGTTCTAAGGATGATTTGTCGAAAAAAATCAAATTAAAAATTCGGGGAGCTACTATGAAACCAGATCAGAATGTGTTAAATTACAGCCTTACAGGTCGTACGCATAAAAATGTGCTGTTGGGGCTACATCATTGTAGTAAATTTGTTGAAACTGTACCGGTAACAGATCTTGTATTCTGTAAGAACGTCTGTAAAAAGTATCTCCTATAAGTAAAGTAATTTGCAATGAGTGCCAATATGTGAGAATCTCTCTTGACATCTTTTAATCATAGCATCGAATTCTAACTCTCAGACTTTCGCGGCTATTGACGTAGGCATCGAATTTATTGCTCTGCACAATGTAGCCAAAATGATTTTAACATTCTCAACCGCCAGACTCTCCTAAAGCGAATTGACTTACCTTGGTGTGAGTGGTTGCACCGGAGTGGCTGGCTCCAGACGTATTCTCGGACTCGGCGGGCAAGGTTCCACATCGTCTTCCACGTCCAGAGCCTCGGTGTCCATCGAGGAACGTTGTTGATGTTGCAAAAGCAGGAGATGTCTTCTCCTTGAGGATGGCGTCAATAGAGCTAACGAATCAGCTTGGAGAACCGTCGCTTGCGACTCGTTCCATATTCCGTCGCTGTGGTCCCTGGTCACATCGTTCGTTAAAGAATCACTCGACGCGAACGGTGAAGTCACCTGGCCGATGATGCTGGTGCCGGCGATGCCGGTCCCGGTGCTGAAAGCAGGCGGATAGACCGCGGTGTGTAATAAGGCGCAGGCGGGCAACGAATCGTCCTTCGGAGCCTGCGATATCCTTCGCGTTGCTAAAAAAAGTACCGTTGGTTATATCGTACCAGATTTTCCGCATTAATGTGACATTGTGTTATGTTACGATACACACTTGCTGTCGCGGTTGGCGATGTAGGTGATGTTGGAAGTGATCTAGGAAGCATAAAATCATCCGACGGTACACCTTGTACACCGTCCTCGAGGGATACGCTTCTTTTTCGAAAGAGTATTCCTCGACGTATCAGATTTTCATGGAATTCCTTAAAATGATGTGATTATTTTACAAAAGTCTTACTTGACACACTGCAATTTCGGTTTGCGAAATACGTTTTCGACATGCCCTACCTCTTCGTGATGATCCTCGTGAGGCGAGAGGCTTCGTAACAAGGACAGATCCTCGGGTGTCGAGGAAAATTGGACGGGTGCTCTGACAGTTCTGTCCCAAGGATCCTGCTGATTCCTCCTGCAGGTGTGAGGATAACTCGGCTCGCTACTTTCTCCAATGAGCTCGCGTCTCTCGACACGGATCTCGCCATCGGAGAAGGTCTTCTGGAGAGGAAGGAACCGACGGGCGGGCTCAGAAATCCGGCTGAGAAGCGCCCGGGCATCTGGCGACACCGGTGCCGGTTTGAAATTTATAAAAATCTCCTGGTCGTCTATGTCGAGGGATCTACGATGTTGATGACACTGAAACGAACACAGAACAGATAATTTACATCAAGTCCAATACGGAAGTGCACAGGATTCTGCAAGTCTGCCTCAGTGGATAAGGCTTTTCATAGAAATGTAAAAGTTTATATCAAAATGCTTACAATGCCGACAGGAACGATCGCGATATCTCCGTTTGGCAAGGTTTCCTCAACGACGACGGCAGTGGTGATAGAGGGAAGTTTCGGTGGTGGTGTTGTTGAAATAAGAAAGGGCGACCTCGGTGGCTCTTCACTTTGAGTCCTGTGAAGCGGCTCGTGTTCAGATTCTTCTTTCGTCGGCGCAGTCTGGCCACCAAGCGGCGTCCCTAATTGTCCAGCTTCCGAGTAACTTTTGGTCAATTTTCTGCCGTTGAAAATGCCGTTCGTTTGAGCACCCTGTGACACCATCTTGACGCGATGGATAGTTCTGGGACTGAGGGTCACCGGAAGCACACGACGGAACATTGGCGGGAGCTCAGTCTGCGTCGCCTGAGTCTTCATGGCGCCGCGTTTAGGTTGTTTCTCTGGAACAAAGAAATAGCTACGTGTCGGCCAAACTATGCGAATTGATATCCGCCAGCTGTAAAAGGTACTTGACCACACTCGTTACAGCAAGCTCATTAGAAGCTGTTTTAAATCAGCTTTAAATAAGTTTCAATTAGTTAAATGCTTGGTACTTTCAGTATTTCAATAAAATACGAATAATATTTCGGTGTAACGTCTTATCGAAGTCAATTGACGAACAAAGGTGTAAACAAATTTATTATGCAAATTTTGTAAAAAAAAGATTCAGATAGAATTATTGAAATTAAATTTAGTAGTCACTCTTTGATCATTTTTGACACAATTCGCTGTACAGTAATAGACATCTACGTCACAACTTGGTCAAGTATATTTGTTCTCTTCCACTTTATTTTGAAGGATTTCGTCATGTTCTTTGATCTACGTTAGGCCAGCTTGTAGCGAGCTTTGCCGTCGTCAAACCGGCCGCGAGTAAATAGCTTTAACTTTCCTTTCCCCACATAATCTATGATACTTGGCTTGGGATCAAAATAGCGCGGCGATGTGTATCTCCGTGCGCAGTTGCTGCACAGTACGGAATCTCAGATTAAATCTCAATAAGTTAATAATTACCTTCGACTAAATATTCTATTTGCAATTTTACAATTAGTATTTTATAATCGTTTACGCACTTACAATTTATATATAAGTTACATGTATACATATATAAGTTTTTACACACGTGTGTAAAAACTTAAGCAATTATCATTGTGCGAGACACAACTTACCAAGTACAAGAACACGTGGCTCAACGCCAGGATAAGGATGGGCTAAGGGCAAGGACGAAGGCATTATAGTATTCTGCATAGTCGGCTGCGAGTCTATAAGACGTTCCGGATTATGTGGCCTCGGGGGGCTTATGTTCCTTGGGACTTCGAACGACGTGAGCGTGTGCGATCTCGCGAAGCTCACATGTTTCGCCTTTGGAGCTTGCGATATTTGCATCGTCATCGCGGAGGCGGGAGGGGGAGGTACTGGTGGCAGTACTGGCCGTGGACCTTCCAGCTTCATGGATTCCTCGTCCTCCGGGACCCAAGTGTATCTATCACGGTAGAAAATTATGTCTGTATCTATAACCGTCAAGCTGTAATATCATTAAACAATGATTTATACAGTCGCCTATCGGCGATATTTCAATTAATATCAGCAAAACTGACGCTGGATGTTTCTATAAATATCTACAGCGTTTCCCGTCCAATTCATTATCGTTTCGGATTATTCAGATTAATCTAATCTTTATTAAAATCATTGCAGCATTTTTACGAAATTCAGCGATGTATAATTGATGGAATTGGCAATCATAATTAAAGTTTCTCAATTACTTTAAAAATATATTAATCAAATATTATTGAGAGAGATAGAAACTTTTAAAATGCGTGCCATCGTTAATAATGGAAATTAAATGACGGAAAATTACGACATAAAGGCTCCGATGATAAACAGTAAAATCTATGGAACAAAGAAGGCAATAGGAGCCGACGCAGGGTGTCAGTAGCGAAAAAATAACAACAGTTTAATGTCTATAAAAAACTTTAAAACGGGTCAAACGTTTCGATCATCTAACGCGATCCTCTTCGGTGACATACAAAATATAAAGTAAATTAAATAAATTAAATGTGTCGCAGATCGACGGCTAAAATAAGTATTAATTAAGAGCAGAAGAATTTGGTCGAATAACCGAAGTTAAATGAGCTAAGTGGAAAACACGTTATCAAGTGATTGTCGTATATATGGGCCGTGCTGTTGCGAACACGGTTCGATCGCACGCGTTACGAATGTATCGTGTGGGGAAACAGAATGACAGCGTGTCATTCTGTCGAAGAACAGATGACCCTCTTATACAGGCGCGTTACCTATATATCAATTTTGAAAATACGACGCTACCGAGGGAAATTAATTTTCATCGTGAAACAATCGCGCGGAAAAATAAATGAATAAACGGAAAAATTGATAAGCTTAAAATAAGATCGTTAGCACGGGACTATATTTATGTCGTCACACCGTTGTCCATTAGCTCCAGATTTTTTTCCGCATATTCTTACACGCACACAACGATCTTGCGCGCAACCATAATTTTTTAATCGACCGCTTTCCGTTGACCTTAAAAAGCTGATAAAGGGGCGGTGCAGCACTCATGCTAATCAGAAATAAACCCAACCCTAGACACTATACTATGAGGAGACCACGGAAGGCTTTACACGTAACAGTCGATGGAACACTGTGCTATATAAATATCGTTTTTATAAGGTCTATGTAAAAACATAGAAGATGCCCGGATCAATATGAGGATAAAGATAAATTTCCGAATAGGAAATCTTTTTCCCTGCTGTACCTACCGATCGTGTCGGAAAGCGCGGCTCGTCGTCACGGATTTTTCCACAAAAATTCACAATTGACTTCTCTAGCAAAGTTATGCTGTTTTCTTGTAAATGAAAACAACGTATCGTATATTTATAATAAGCGTCTGCAACTTTTTCCATTTGTATAACTGTAGGCAAACGGACGAAAGTTTTTTCTCCTCTTGTTAGACTGCAATTCCGTTACCCTTGCATGCTCATCGTTTGCATTGCGACACGCCTTTCGATCAATTACGTTACTAAAGTCTTTACCGATAAATCGATCAGTAGATACATTCTAAACGCGTCTCGACGGAGTAATTTGCCCCAAATATCCGAAGCACTCGGCTGCCAAATAGTCGGAGGTAATATGGCCCTTCGCAGGTGTCGATCTCGAGTATGCAAGTATGCCGCGCGCGGTGATTGCTCGAGTAATTATCACGATTATGAAAACATAAGCCATACATGATTTAAAAAATATAGATTTGTACATAAATCTACCATTAGAGTTAACGTACTTCCCACATTTGTCCCGCGCGCCGGTTTCTTTTCGGACATAACGCACTTTTCTTACGGGTGGAATCATTATCGTCAGCAAACTCACATATTCAAATCGATAACCGATTTGTAATTATATGGTATTTAAAACGCTACATTTTTAGCATTTCTCGATGCTACATTTAGCATTCAATACCCCCCTTCCCCGTACTGTGAATTATTCTTATTGCGAAAAATATTACCTCAGCCAGGATTCGAACCTGGGACCTCCCTCAATCGGTGACGTGTTTAAACTAGTCTTACTACCATGTTAACACACTGAGAAAAATGTCCGATTAAATATAATCGGATAATCCTATTACATAATAACAAGCCGATATATCCGACGAAAAATGTGATCGATTTTTCGATCAATTTTTATCGATAATTGCGTTTTATCGGATAAATTTCATCGGATGTGTCCGTAATTTAATCGGAAAACGTAATCGGAAAGAATAACCATCGCAAAACACTATTTAATCGGTTTATCGGATGAAAAATTTTCTCACTTCACGTAATTGTAAAATCATCATCGGAGAACGGAGAGTCCCAAATATCGCGATATAGGAAAATTAACGAGTGCATGCCAGTTTTTCACAGCAGTACTTAAAAATTTTCCATTTCTCAACTGGTCGACTCTTCGACGAATCGCGGTGGTTTTTTCTGCGCTCAGAATCCGGACGGGAGAAAACCATCAGCGGGAGGGATCGATGTGTCTTCATGCTCACCTTTTCGGGTCGGGCACAGTGCAAAACGATCTCGGGCGCCGTCTGAAGTAGGAACTCTCGATCCAGTCCGCCTCTTCCTCAAGGTCGTACCGCGACAGACCGCGGGAGTAGGTCGGATAAGGCTGACGGAACATAATTTGGAGGGGCCTTCGAGGGTAGGGCGCGTCGCAGAGGTTCTCGTCGCTGGGGACACTACGCACGCACGCCGACAGGATGGAATTTCTGGTGGTGCTGCACGGCGACGGTCCCCTCGTTGACAGGCACCCGAAGAAACCGCCGCCGGACTTCTCGACGGCGTCCAGCTGCCGGCTGGTGATGCAGTACTGCTCCTTGATGTCCTCGCGCGAGTACAACGGGGTCGCGCGACGATCCCACGAGTCCATAACACCACCAGGACCGCCGAAGCCGCCGTGGAGGTCTGCCTGCGTGGAGACGTCCACCTGTCGCAAACAGCCGCGATTATATTCCCGGAAACGCAGCCCCAACGATTCCGACGGGTAGCGGACGTTGATTGACGCGCGGAGCGATTTACCCGGACGTGATAGGCGTAGGCATCGCAAAGGAATCGCTGCGCGAGACTACTGATTTGTATAGCTTGCCGATAGGTGATTTTGACGGCGGCGCCTTCCAAAGCCCTCGAATATCATTTTGCGCTCGAAATCGTTAACAAATCGCACGAAGGGAGAAAGGCAACTCGATGAGATGAAAGAATGCCTGAGAATTAAGCGCGGTTAAGAGATTCTTTTTAATGAGACGAGCCGACCGCGAACGCGCAAAATTTGTCACTTTGACTCGCGTTACTCTTCGAAATTATTAGAATTACCGTAGAACACTTTTTATATTTCGAAACGGTAGCGAAGGCTCCCGAAAAGAAATTACGTAGAATGGAGAAAGTGCCAATGTGAGCCACGAAATGAACAGAACTCAGTTCTCGCACAATAAAAGTCAGACACTGTCTTTTAACGCTATTGTTACGGATTCGTTCCACTGTCGAGTGTTGTGCACAGACAGAGGGATGACTTTGAAGTCACATGGTGTGCTGATTTCCTAAGATTTATGTTTTTATTCGGTTTAAACGAGTTTCACCGAAGAAGACCCGAAGAAGGGTCGAAACGTTTGTTTCTTATTAAAGAGAAATTCTGACTTTTACCGTGCGAGAGCCGAGTTCTGTCCATTTTGTGGTTCACATTGGCACTTTCCCCTTTCTACGAACATTTTTACATTTCTGCTCTCAATCTATCCGCGACGCTGCGATATAAAATTCAGCTATTGCACGGGGTATTAGTTATCGATATTATTTCCGCTCGAGACCTCTCAGATGCGAAACATTTATTGGCGATATTAAATTTCCAAATACTTGCTGGAAATGTGATATTCAGGACTCAAAATGTGCCAGTTTAAAAACGTTATGGATGTTGAAACGTGAAACTGTACTTGTGAAAAAAAATGAAGAAACAAAACGCTTTCATTGCGGGGTGGTTATTGTCTTCCGCGGGGCAGTTAAAAATTGTATCGTTCTTCGATCGAGTACGGTAAACTGCTTCATTCATCGAAGTTCCACAGCTATACGCCGCTCATTGTGCCGAGCTACGTTATCGGAAATCGCAATAGTCGCTGCATTAAACTTCTGTAATTTCCCGGACTTCATTACCGTTCTTGCATTATTCCTTTCCTATAAGCATGAAGTTCCGCTATCTCCCGCCCGCGCCATGGCGATGGCATTGTAGCCGTCTAATGTCTATCGTATTATCAGTTTCCGGTAACGAGATTCGTTCAGGTTGTCCTCCGTTTAGCGGAGATCAACGAGACGGACGAGGGAAACGTTTCAGCCGTCGTCAAACGAGGAGCATTTCTCTCGAGGAGACTGACCTACATTCGGTTGCAGGAAACGGACTTTGAAGCGCGAGCAATGTCCTCATTCTCCAAGGACGAGACGATGATTAGAGAATAATATTACTTGTATGGCCGAGCAGCGAGCTTGTCGTTGATTGTCGCGGCATTAATGCACTTTTTTAAGTAATTAGAAATGGTAAACAAGAAAGTATACAAAAGGGAGCACGTTCCCTAGACACCTTTTTCTCAAAGTTAGCTAAAACGATATACATTGCTCCAAATTTTTTCCAGGTGTATTCGTTAGCTAGCGAAATATCTCAAAGTTAAAAGTACTGAATAAGTTCAAGTTTATCTGTTAACGGTTGACCCGGATCGCAACGGCAAACGCGGTTAATGAACTTCAGTTATGAAACAGCCAGTGACTTTTCCCTTTTCTCTCATAGCTGTGCTATGCGCGAAGAGGAAGAAGATGCAAAATGAGATGCGTAAAATAAAACTTTTGATTTAACGCGATAATATCGATTTTGTGTTACATAATAGATTTTATTTGTACACAAACGTAATGCTCTGTCACGATCATAAAGCCGTGTTACGATAAATCAGGTCCGAAATACACGCTCCACGGTATGAATAACGATCTCATAAATCATGAATTAAAAACAAAACGCAAGACGCTCTCGCGATCTGTGTTGAAGTGGAGCTTGCGGCTCTCGGCTCGTGACGACCGTCTACTCATCTCTATTTATCGGTCCATTTGTTTCGTATTATTTATAATGCGCGTTCTATTTTCAAATAGAAGGTGCCGAGAAGTGCCGCGAGCGAAAACAGAAGGGTGTCGTTTCGGAAAGCAGCCCCACACAGCTGAACCAGCCCGATGCTCCAGCAGTAGGACATACGTCACGTTTCTCCCTACGCATAAACATGTCTACGTCGGGGATCTCGACGGTACCTGGAGATGATAAACGGGTGTCGTTCTGCCGACAGCATTGGCATCTCCCCGCATAGCAGGCGGCATGCTCGCGGAGGCCGTGGGCAGATTCCTCGGGTTCATGGCGATCTCGGGGCCGGGATGGATCCTCCTGACACCCGCCGTTCCACCGGCGGGTGCCACGCTCGGTGCCTTCACCATCCTGGGCCGCACCCCGCGCGGTCGCACCGACTGGCTGCGAAAACGGCCGCGAGCACGCACACCAGCTGGCCTATCGATCTACCCGCCTTTTCCCTCTCAAACGAGAGAGGAACTTGTCCGACACTCTCGGCGCCCCGGGGGTAAACCGAGAGGCTCCAGCCAGCCCTCCTCGTAGACTATCTCGTCGGCGCGTCTCGCGCCCGCGGGACCGTCATGATCGCGCGAGCGGAGACGGTGGACGACGGGTCCACCACCCGACAATGTCCTTACGCGACACTCGCGCCTCGGCGGATTCGCGGCGATCTGTCGTCGGCAGACTCCTGGCGATTGATACGTGCCGCGGGGGACCCGACAACGGCGAGCGCGACGGCGGCGATGGTCGACGGCCACCGTGACGACGTTGGCATACGTCGGACCACGACCGAGGCGACGCGTCTCGGTGGTCCTCGCGAGAACGCGAGGGATGACGAGCTCTCCCCTACGGGTCGGAGGCGACGCGACGCCGGGGCGCGCGTGCTGGTGCGAGCGAGAGCGCGATGATACGAGAAGGGTAGATACGGCAGAGACAGGGTGGAAGAAGCGGCGACGGTGATACGGATAGAGGGGGATGAATGGGAAGGGGGTGGAGGCGTGGGAGAAATTGAGACGGCGCGGGGGGTGGAGGGAGGGGAAAATCATAGCGGATGTTCGCGGCAAAAGAGGGATGATGACGACGGGGGTAGCTGGCGCGGTGGGGGTATTTGTAACCTTCCTTACTCTCGACTCGTGCGTCCGCTTTGTGAGCCGCACGGGCACGTTCTCCTCGTCAAGCGTATTAATACCGTGATATTTATCCGCGTCTCGCTTAATGCCGATAGGGTGAACGCCATTATAAATAGTTCTTCCCCGATTATTTTTATACCGCGGCGAGCCTCTGTCGAGCTGATCTAGCGACGCTCGCAATTATTCTACTGAAAAATCCACGGGACGAGATCCCGATTCTTCCCGGAGAGACGTCGCCGCCGGAGTGAAGCAACCACCCCTTTCGTCCGAGACTGTTGAAGGCGCCAAGTGTCCGAGATAAAAATGACTGATCGACGTCGGTCTGAATTTATTGTTACATAATAATACGACGTTCGCTAAAACTTATGTGCGACCACGAAGTCGTCCAATTTGTTTCTCGGTCTTTAATATATTCCGTACACGTTGGCTTACGTATATCCTTAATCCTAAGCGTTTAACTACCGCAGAACGCCGTAGCGTCGAGGCGTTACGGTAATAAATAGAATAATAGATAATTAGGTGAGCGGTATAATCAGGCTAATAACATTGTCGCTGAATCAAAGGTAAACCAGGAAATGAACGGGAGGATTGTGCCGCTGCGGGCACGTGTGCATGTGGGACAATGGCATTAGCTGAGAGGAAAGATAAAAAAGCGGCATGTTAAACATACTATAGCAGAACTGACACGTCGCGGAGATGAATGAGGAGGCCGCGGGGAAAGGGGGCGGCGACGGTTAAGGGTAGAGGGAGCGAGATAAACGAGATGACACAGTTACAATATTGAAAAGACAAGCCGGACGCGTGCTGGCACGGCGGAATGAAACAAATATGACGTCATAGACGGGCGCCGTCCTTAAAGCTGCGACGCCTACGTTTTGTACGACGTGCATGCGCGCGGAAGTACCGACGCCTACGATTAGGAGATGAGCGAAGACGGAAAGGAGAGAAGACGGGAGGGAGAAAGGAAGAAAGGGTGAGAGGGAGAGGGAGAGGGAAAGGAAGAGGGAAAGGGAGAGGGGGGAAGGTACGAGAGACCGGCCACGTCGAGACCAGATGGAGCTCCTGCACATCCTTCCGCCGTCACCCTCTTTGTTGCGGCGCCGGAACTACCCTCTGAAGTTCAAACGACAATCTTGTTCGACATAATTTTATAATAGCATGATTAAATTTTAATCTTGTTATCCTTCTCGTTGAATTATTGTTTAATTATTGTTTAAATGTATTAAATTGTAAGCTTTATCTTTGTAATTAATGTGCAGGTTAATGTTATTTTAATTTTGCGTTTATTCATCCAGTGTGAAAATCTCTCTGGGCCTCGTGCCAAGTTAATCGATGCTGTTTTTATGTTTGTAATCTTACATTAAATAAAAAATTTTGATAATTACAATTAATTCCAAAGGTAAAATTTGTGTCATATATTGTCATATATTCACTACATATTATTATATGTTTATGTAATTTTTTAAGTATCCTGTATACGTGTTTGTAGTTCTTTCACCGCGGCAGAGAGGTCGCACGTATGACAAATGTATATCTCCGTGTAAATCAATGCAGATCTCATATGTACCGGCAGATTTCAGATTATAAAGGGATACTAGCATACTTTAGTTTCACACTTACTACATATTGATACATAGGAGCGAATGAAGACGATACAAATTATAAATATATTTAAATTATATGTATTTAATAACGGGAACAAATATGTTTCCTTAAGTTATTTAATAGTCAATGATATCATTACCTGTAATGTCCGAATAACTTTCAAAAATATTTCGGAAATGCTGCAGATTAACGTATTACGTTCTTGAACCATCGGTTATAACCAGAGCAGAACAAGAATTCACGTTGAAATGACAATGGCTTTAAAATAATTGCTAAAAAGACAGTTTAACGCTACTTGACGTCACTCATCGTAATCCTTTGTTCTAGATATTGTTAAACAAATTTTTCGAAAATTCAAACCACTTCTAAAGCGCGTGGTGCCCTCTCTCTTTTTGTACATGTTTTACATATGTATTTGTAAAAGATATGTATGGGATACCCATAATACATTTTTAATAAATTAAAAATATAGCAGACAATTATTTTTTAATCGACATCGTCACCGTAAAGATATCGAGTTATAAAAATTTTACTGACATCTCGTCAACGTTATGTCCCGTAGAGAATTATTGCCGACGATATTGTCCTCATATGAAATACATAAAAGAGATCTGCATGCGCATTGTTTTCCACCACTTTAACGGAATTTCAACGAGGAAACAAACCGACCATTACGTGACTTTGCATTTCTAACTGGACAAACGGATTTGAGTGTGTGTGGCGAGTTATGCAAATAAACACGCGTGAATTTATAGAACGGGAAAGCACGTGCGGCGCAAGCCGTTCCTTTTTACCGAAACCTTATGGTCCCGCGCACTGTCGAATAGTCATCAAGCGAGCCTCGCTGATGCAAAGTGTGTAACGGGAAAGTATTTTTATCCTTTAGTACTTGCTTTCCAAATTATTGGAGATTCTCGGACAAAAGTGAGTAAAAATAAAATCCATCGCGTAAAGAGCGCGCTTAGGAACAATTACTTATTAATTAACGATCGAAACGTTGAATGACACGCTTTATTTAGCGGCCCCCTGAAATTTTGCGCGTCCCTCTTCGAACGGATATCCTTTTCTGCATATTCTACTAGGTGCTATATAGGGCGAAAAAATGAAAGACGGAAAATGGAACGATCGGGTGACATTGAATGTGGGTGGTGTTCGACACGAGACGTATAAAGCGACGCTGAAGAAAATCCCAGCGACCAGATTGTCACGGTTAACGGAGGCATTATCGAATTACGATCCGGTTTTGAATGAATACTTTTACGACAGGCATCCCGATGTTTTCGCGCAAGTGCTCAATTATTATCGTACTGGAAAACTGCACTATCCCGCGGACGTGTGCGGCCCGCTCTTCGAAAAGGAACTGGAATTTTGGGGTCTCGATTCGAATCAGGTTCGTTCGATACTTTCGCCCCAAATAAATTGCGCAATGTTATTCGTTAACTATCAATCCCAAATTATATATATTGCATGTATATAAATATACATTGAAAAATAATTATATCAGTAAAATAGGAAACATACGCGATATTAATATTATAAAATACATATATTATAGATATAAAATCCAATAATTTCGTGTCAATATTCTGTCAATTATTTAAAGCAACTTCAATCACGTATGCAATCTGTGACGCATCAGAGATTAATTTTAATGTAAATCTAATTTCTCTTTTATTTTGTTGAAATAATTATTGTAATTGGTCAGTTGTCGAAATTTGATAATAAAAGATAAAACAGTAAAGAAAGAGTGTCGTTGATCTATCTTTTAAATTTAAATTATATGTTTTCTCTGTCACGCATAAAGAGGACTTGAAAAACAGAATGGTAAGAAACACCATTAGAGATGCTACATTAAAACTAGAAATTCCACATACAAATTGTTCAAATAACATATCTCTTATTCATTTTATTATTGTAAGCTCTTTATAGACGTTGCTGGTCTGCATCATAGAAACAATTTGGCATAACTTCTAAGCAGGGATTGAAATCGATAATTTTTTTTAGAAAAAATCATGTTATGTCTTTGATTTTTATTTTACATTTTTTAAATTATTTTTTATTTTCATTAACTTGCAACTTTTATTTCCTAGTCAATTGCTTTTAAAATCACACCGTGAGAGATATAAATAATATCTCTCAAAAATAAATGTTATTCCTTAAGCAAAAATATTTCCCTCAAAAACAAACCTCAGCCTGATTTATTGAACTACAAAACAACAATTAATCACTGTTAGGGTGGCACATTTTTGCACGCTTAATCGAATGAGACAATAAATCAAAAAGAATAACCGTTTAACAGTATATCTAATTTCATGGAACATAATGAACATGAAATAATTACATAGATTAGATCAGAAGTATCAAAACTTTATTATTTAAATAAAAATATAAGTTTATACCGAAAAAAGATTGTGCTCTCTGTAATTGACGTAGGTAATTCATAAAAATAAAATAAGCACCTAATAATGAAGATGTTATGTAAAGTAACTTTAGAATACCGTTTGGGATCCGTTTTCGATAGGTGAACATAGAAATTAAGCACGCGTGATTTTTATTTTTTGAGAGAAAAAATAAAAATCGCAGAACAACTCTTATTTCTGATTAACATACAAATCGCTCAAAGGTTAACAATTAATTTTTATCGAAATTGGAAAAAGGTTAACAATTTATTCGTACTTCTAGATATAAATCATCTATGATTTAAAAATGTTAATAAAAAATAACTCTTGTTTATTGACCCGGAAAAATTAAGATTTTTCGCGAAATTAAACTTCAAATTGGTCAGTTGGTACAGTAGGCTTGATAACTCGAATGAATTTTTTGTTTTAAAAATAACTCTTGTATTCAATCCCTGCTTATAAGTAACTACACCAAATACATCGTTGGGGCACTTTAATACTCTGTTAATGAAAATGACCCTTTTTTTTAGGTAGAGCCGTGTTGTTGGAGCACGTACAGCATTCATCGAGACACGCAAGCCACCTTGGCAATCCTCGATAAGCTCGACGTCGAGGGTGAAAAGCTCAGCGATGAAGAAATCGCTCGGGTTTTCGGTGTCGAGGACGAGTATCGTAAAGGGACCTTAACGAGATGGCAAAGATTACGGTCCCGCATTTGGGTTCTTTTCGATGAGCCTTACCCTTCGGCCAAATACATAGCCTGCATATCGGTGTTCTTTATTTGTCTATCCGTGCTCTGTTTCTGCGTGAAGAGTCACGCGCCAGTAGAATCACCGAGGAATAAACACGACTTCGAAGAATCGAGGGGAGACTGTTCGAACGCTATGGAACTCATCGCCGATCCTCACCGCGCGTTTTTCTACCTGGAACACGCTTGCAATGCTTGGTTCACTCTGGAAATAGCCCTCCGCTGTCTCGTACGATCTTATCGTATTTGCTTTAATTTAATCGTAATCGCTAATTACATTTTGCCGGACATTTCAGTTCTCCCCTGCGCGGGATAATCGAATGACGTATATATCTTTACTTTTGCCTCAATATTCTATTATAATGCTAACTCTTTCTAATTTATAATCAATAAACCGGGTTATCTGCGGCCGTGATGGCTAACATAGTGAACACTACGATACTATGTAACTTAATTGCAGGCAAGTCCCAGCCTGAGGCGCTTCGCCATGTCGCCAGTCAATGCGATCGATCTAGCGGCGACGATGAGCTTCTACACGGAGTTTCTGGCAAAACCAAACCTTTATCTGGAGCTTCTGTCAATAGCGCGTGTTCTACGACTATTCAAGTTGACGCGGCACTCACCCGGACTTAGAATCCTTATCCACACCTTTAAGGCGTCCGCCAAAGAGTTGGCCTTACTGGTCTTCTTCCTCGTACTAGGGATCGTGCTTTTCGCCAGTCTCATATTCTATGTTGAACGTCTGCAGGTGCATTTCCACTTCTAGTTTCACGAGGGATAGAGCTAAATATTTTAAGGGCGCAGTTCTGGGTGCAGTTCAAACAAAGCGGTAGAACTTTTACAGTAAAATCCGCGGGGCGGCTTGTCTTCCGTGAAGAAAAATTTATAGGCCTGGTTTTAAACTGCGATCCCCGGCTCTTCTTTGCATGTACTGCCGCGGATTCTACGTTAACACATATATTCGTGGCAAACTTACGACGAGATGAAATTAATTCGATAAAAATTCCTGTTTAGATCAATTGATATCTCGGATGTTCGAAAACGGGGAATATTGAATCGAAACTCGCGAGACGGCCAAAGTTATGTCCTGGCTTTTCATGCCGTATCGCAACACTTTGCAGGAAAATCCCGACAACGATTTTGACAGTATACCACGAGGTTTATGGTGGGCCCTGGTCACCATGACCACTGTAGGGTACGGCGACATGACACCGAAAACTTTTCCCGGCATGTTCATCGGCGGACTGTGCGCCCTCGCCGGCGTCCTGACCATCGCTCTTCCAGTTCCGGTCATCGTCAGCAACTTTTCCATGTTCTACTCGCACACGCAGGTGCGCTAACACTGTATCCGCCGTACGCTGACAGAGATAGTTTAAGAGCTCGTTTTGGTTTATGGCAACCATGTAATAAGTTGCATGGACCAATATTGTGCCTATGAGAACTATAATACATTATTAGGTCAACCATGATTTACGCAGTTGGAAGAATTATAGACTGAAAAAAAAATCTGTTAGATTCAACCAGACGTCTGTTAGAAAATGGACGAATCAGAATTCCCTTTAGGATTTACCAGAATTCCTTTAGGATTTACCATGAAAGATATTTCATAACCAGAAGTTTGGTAGACTTTACTACAAATCTGGTAAATCCTAAAGGGAATTCTGATTCGTCCATTTTCTAACAGACGACTGGTTGAATCTACCAGATTTTTTTTTCAGTGTAGAAATGCGGTTGGCTCCTAAAATGAGACTATTAATTATAGTGAGATTGTGGTAACTGCAGCCTTTTTTTTCTGTGTACACTTGGGCATGCTCACTAATTTATACGCAGCCGTCTGATCGAAATTGATATTTTTAACATAAAAATCGGACGTGGGTGTACACGAAAAAATTAAACTTTCAGGCGCGCAGCAAGCTACCGAAGCGAAGAAGAAAAGTTTTACCGGCTTCTCTAAGACGAACGAGGTCGCCGTATCAGAATTATGTTGACAGAGAGGATCGCCAACTTCTACCGAGTTCCGCGTCTAAATCAATAATGGACTTGACACCCCGTTCAACCGCCGCTGGATTAGAAAGTGTATTACAATTACAGGTACCGCGTGTACATATTATACTTTTCACCTTAATTGTTTTATAAATAACTTGCAAACGTCCTTTTTGCATTTTGCGTAATTTCACCTGCCGCTTATTTACAGCCGAGCGTAGATACTTCAGAGTCGGGCAGAAGCTTCAATCACAATGGAAACAATACAATCAATCGGTTTGATAGCAAAATGCACCGTCAGGGATTCGAGAACGAAATGCCACTTGTACCCACTTGTATAGCTATTTCTGATACTTTTATCATGATATCAGAAAACATTTGAAATATCGAAGGAGAAAACAACGATTACGAATACGATTCGTGCCATAGCGATGAATCGTTTGTTATATACGTTGGATGTGAAATCAAAAAGACATCTAGTAGTCAAGACTTGTAGTCAAATAATAATATAATAAAACAAATACCGTTTACTTGGATATTGAAAAGAAAGTCGGCTCGCGAAAGTCGCGCCAATTATCGACATCGACATCCGTTGGTGTCCACACAGTTTGTCAAACGATTAACTTAATTTTCTTAATGGAGAGGAAGGGGGCGGAAAATAAGTTCGTGAGCTTCGACGCCAAGAAGTTTCAGAAAGTTTCAAGGCGGACAAAGGGGGACGACGTCTCGAGATGGTATCCGCGGATGATCGGGTATTATCTTCGGGTTATCGAACGTTAATCCTCTTCACTCGCGGCTAATGGGTGAGTGTCAGGGTTGTTCCCACGGCGTAAATTCGGTACACAACTCGGGAGTAA